CAGTGGACAATTGTTCTAACTCAGGCAAGACTTGCGACTCGGAGGTCTGGTTTTCCATCTCCTATGACGTGAAAAAACGAAAGGTTCATTATCTTTGTACTGCCTTTAAAGGGTATGCAATGTCACGATATTTTGGAATTATTTTAAAACCCTACCAGGGAAAAAAGACCTCTGCTAGCAGGGAACTCGTCCGCTGAATACCAGGGAAAAGAGACCTCCGCTAGCAGGGAACTCGCCCGCTGAATACCAGGGAAAAGAGACCTTTGCTAGCAGGAAAAACACACATTGGAAGGAAAGAAAACCCACAAGTAATGCTTCAGTTCTATGTAAAAGGACTTTACACCAGTACTTCTAATAATAATTGTCTGTGTCTTTGGCTTGCGATGCCGGCCAGGATAGAAACGGATTGCAACTTCAATAAAACTGAGCCATCTTTTTCAAGTTTAACTCCTGTGTGCCGTCACGTGATTGAACATTACATGAATCGACATTTTTTGGTTTTGTGATTTCCGCCTGCCATTGTTAGACATTTTAGACATTACTCCGGTCATTGTCTCAGTTATTCGCTAGATTTTTTTTTACTTTAGTCTTAGCCTGTGTAAGTTCATTCCTATTTTACACTATGTAAAAGTTTCCTAAAGCTTGCTGGTAAGGCTGCCCTATCTTAGCCACGGCTTTATATCGGTTGAGGTAGCGGAACATCCTGTGTTATCAAAATATGTCCATGAACTGATCAAAATTTCTTTTCCCTTTGACAGAATGTCTTTTAGAGTTCCAAGCCTCGGAAAGGAACCAAGCCTTTTGGAAAAGCGTCGTTTCCAAAAGTTTTCTATGGCGGCAGAAGAGAGATGATGCCGCAGAGAATGATAATATTAAAAAATAGGAGAAACAAGGCAGGAAGGCACAAAAACAGGTTGCGTTAGTCTCAGACACAGAAAGAAAGTGTATAGAACGTCCTACACATTGGTCGAGCGTTGCCTTACAAGAACTTCACAAATTTCATTTGAGTCTCATTTGTTCACCTCGTACGTAAACGACTATAAATTAATCCAAAAGCGCTTTCTAAGTTTCCCGATTCCTCTCCTATTACTTTCACGATTGGAAAATTGGAGAAAGACAGAGGTGTTTCGCTTTCCAAGGGGTACTCCGGGTAATTGTCGGTGGGGATGTGCCGCACAGTTCTCCAAATCCTGACCCTATTTCAGCCCAAAAAGTGTCGTTTTCCACACCCTTTTTCAGACCTGACCTCTAAAATCAACACCCGTTTCCAGACCTGACATTTAGGCAGAAATTATGTCAGAATTACAGTCAACCAGCCCTTTATAGCGGACACTGTAGGGACCTCAAATTAGTGTCCTCATTAGCAACAGTCCGTAATAGCGGGAGTTTATTCAAGTCAAACTTCTGTAATTTGTTTTTGCCCGGGAATTTAGCTGCTGTCCGTATTATCGGGATGTTCGCAAGGCGAGAGTTGACTATACCTAAATGGTTTATATAAGGAAGTACCCCTCCCCCCAAGGTTTCGCTTAAGATCCCTTGCCCTTACAAGTATACCATACAGAACTTACTTTTTTGTAAGCCATCTAATCACATTTTTCTACAGTGGCTCCAGAGGTCCGTTCTCGGGAATTAGGCAAGAAAAAAATCCTCTGGCACCCAGGGTAACATTTTTCATGAATTTGAAGGAACGCGATCGAGAGTTTCTATTAACAGGTCAGATGGTTTGAAGTTTAAGAAGTACAGAATACCAGATCGGACAGAACGTTTGAAATCGAGCCTAGAACTACACTTTACTAATTCCCTGCTATACGGGGCTTTTAACAAACTACTTGGCCCGGGGAGCGGGGAAATTAGCGGTGTTTTAACACCAATCCAATGTTAACTTCCCCGCTACGTCCCGGGGGCCGGGAGCCGGAGTTTCAAATAACTGCTGCATAAACTTAAACAAACGAAGCTGGTGACTAACCTGTTCCTGTTCAATCTCTTTTTTAGATGATGAATAAGCTTATTAATTCAACTGTAACCAACAGATAAGAACTCTCCTGATCTCGTTTGGCCAACCTGGTTCTTATATTGTTGGGTATTAAACAAGCAAATTTCTGACAGCAGGTTATTAAGCCACTAGGTTCTTACACGCGGGTTTTTACTGTATTAAAAACTAACTCAGTATCACCAACTCGGAAATCCTCCGCAATGGAGACTTACAAATGAAGGCTCCTGAGCGTATTTGATTATCTCTGACGGACAGAAAAAGAGAACGGCTCACACAAACCCTGAAAGTCTTACTAAATATTTAAGAAATAAACTTTCACAAAAATAGGTGAGTGATGACTAACCTGCTCCTGCTCATGCGCTGATTCTGGTGATGAATCAGGAAAGAGGTCAGGGTGCACACTCCTCCAGTAATCCTCTGATGGCCAGTATCGTTCAGGTATGAGGTTTTCTCCATCCTGCAACAAAATACAAAACAATACTAAAACTACTCATCTCCTTTCATTACAGTGTGGACGTGTACACATTTGAAAACCTTCGTCTTAAGTCCCATGCGATTACACTGACCAACGAAAGACAATTGTTTGTATGACAACAACTTTGACAAGATGTACTAAGTTCAAAAAGAGCCTCGCGTGCCGAAAGCAAAGATCAACAGTCAAAACTTGGCCTGTATAATAAAAGGCAGTTTGTGGCTGCATGTGGCTACTGTTTTAGTTTGTAGAATATATTGCAATAAAAAAGGAATGGAAATTGTAGGAAACGATAGAAATTCAGATTGTTTATCCATAAATATGCTATCTTTGCTCTAGAAGGTATATATTTAAAAAACATCAACAACAAAATAAACACGAAAACGAAAAAAAAAAAAATTTAGAAAGACAGAAGGAAAAAAAAAAGGGTACTGAGCAGGATTCGAAACCGGCACCTTGTCAAAAATTATACGAACACAAGGTTAATGTGTCAACAACAACTGACAAACTATTTTTAAGCGTCTTTACAGTTATTTGCTGAGAGAAATTTTTCCTACCGAAAATTTTGACATCTCGGCGGAGGAAAGAGAAACAGAACAGGGAGGACGGAGATATCGATGAAAAGGTAATTTAATGGCTTTTTGCGTGATGATAAGGGACCTAACCGATGTGGGGGAGAACCCTCTCTCTCCGGCGTTACGTGACATAGAGAGAGAGAGAGAGAGGGGCCAGAACTGCACTAGACACACGGTAGTTACGCCTTCTTTGTCTGGTATATTGGTGTAGAGGCGAAGCGCTGAAGGTCAAAAAACGTCCTTTACGACTAAGTTCAAGAAACGAGTGTTACCCGTCGCCAATTTTTAAACCAAGTTTAGGGAGGAGGGAGATTTACCTCCCTGTACCTCTCCCCTCTCAGCGGGATTGGAAAGAGAAACATTATCTTTATCAAGGCGCACGTACAAGAAATTCGCATTCAAAATAATGGAATCAAAATCAACACTTGCAAATCCTTTTCTTTTCTTTTGAAAATATATTCAGAAATACAAAGTTCGCAGATCACAGTGTATTTTTTCCGGGCGGGAATTTGTTACGTAATAAAACGAAAGGCGGGAAAATGTCGTCACGTGAAAAATCATCCGAGGTAGATTTAACCAATCAGCTGCCGCCACGTCACTAGGCTTTGAATGACACCGTTTGTTGTTTTTGTAGTTTGTTCAGTTCGCTCTTCAACGGCAAACTGTTCAGAATGAACTCAAAATTTAATAAGAAAACATCAGGGAAATTAGTTTACACAAGACAGGGATTCATCTCTTTTGACTCAGGAATATGCTAAGGAGTTGTTCGAGGCTCAAGGAAACATCATTTATAACGATATTTCACGACAGCCCAAAGCTCCGCAGGATTTGATTTGTATGGCGAGTGTTCTTGGAAGATTGAAAACAAGCTCACGCTATTTACGCGATAAAAATCATGGAATGGATACTTATGCTATACAGTGGAGAACAGCGAAGTGTTTACCTGTAAGGAAAATTTGTTTAGTGTTGCTTTCAACCGTTGTCTCAAAGATACAATTTTTTTCTCCGGGTTGTTATTTCAAAAACCAACGCTTCACCGAACTGCAAGGACCAGTATTTATCAAAGAAACGCTCAAGAACTAACAAAAGAACAGCTATAAAAAAGACTTGTCTGTTTTCTGGACTTTCAAAAGAACTTCACTTGACTTAAACTGTTTTTTAGGAGCCTTGGACGATAAACTGTGAAACCGTGAGTTCAATGTGTTTACTCTTTGCTCATTTGTTTGAATTGAACATGAACTGAACATCTTTCATTTGCTTTTATGATTGTTGTTTTTTTACTTTATGAAAAGGTATGAATTAAAATTGATTCAGAAATTAATACTGTGGAAATTAATTGCTTTTATCTTGCTAAAAGTTTTTGTTTTCACCCAATAATATCACTTTATGGGTGCTTGAAGATACGAAATTTCTCTTCTTGTGTTCAACTCCATGTTTTAATATCAGCTAAAGTTACTTGTTCTTAACGTTCTCAGTTAAAACATTTTATGGAGTTAGTTTAATCAGTTGAAACAAATGAATTTGAAATGATACTTTGAATCTGCTAAAGTTTGTGATTTGTTTTCAAAAGCAAATCTCGTGTTTTGTCGAGTATAAAAATGACAAAGAAAGGAAAATGGCGAAAGGCAAGAGCTGAGTAGAAATAAACTGTAAACAAGGATAAAGAAACAAATTGCGATAAAATTGGAAAACTTACGTGGTATTCTGACCACAGTTGAAAGATGTTTCCGTGCTGCTGTACAGCTGATGTGAGATTCATCACCTGCTGTGGAGTCATCTTCACTCCATCAAGGTACAGTCTCTCCAGGTGAGGAGCGCAGCTGAGATGTTTTATCAGGCTGTCGACTCCTGCACCCAGAAGAGGATTGTATGACATGTTGAGCGACTTCAAGTTTGGAAGATCTTGTTTAAATACTCTGCTGATGAACTCCACAGCAGGTGATGATGTTACATTGATATTGCTGAGTGCTAATCCCTCCAGTTTGTGTGTTGTTGGGATGCTCCTCAGTAGAGACTCTGTTACCTCAGCATCAAACACTTCACCGTCTTCACTCTGAACCCATATCACGTGTGGAGCGGTGATAAACGGCATCATCTCAATCAGCTGTTCCACTTGTGACCTGTTCACATCAAAAGGTACAATCCTCCGAACCCTGGAGAGACCATGACGCTTTGAACAACAGCTGCTGCTGCTCTCTTCACTTGACTCATCACCATTCATGTTTGTCTTCTTTGTTGTCTCTTCTAAACTAACTAACGTCTTTACCATTTTAAAAGGAAAAGGAATGTAAGGATATGTATCTTTTACAATTTGAGTAAAATAAAGGTAAGTGTTGTTTTCTTCTTTCATTAAAAAAAACTCGTCAACACTACGCCATGGAAATACTTTCAAAAATTCTGATGCTTTCTGTTCTCCTGTTCTACTATCTATAACAGCGTTTAATTGCTGTGCTAAAGTTATTAAATTATTATAACTTTGCTCTGTATACTGGTCGCTATAAGAGAAAAATATGTACATAAGTGAAGCGGTAGTTTTAACAAAATTTTCCTTTGCTGCAATATTCAGCTGCTCAGGATTTATTAAAAAAACACCTCCTAGATTAGAAAGAAAAGTGGGGAAAAGTTCTGTTCTCGTGTCTGCTGAGCAGTAGAAGAATAACTGTGTACATAGAGTTAAAAGATTTTTTTGTTCATGAGACAAATCGTTGACTGACGGTGCTTCGTTGTCGAAGCTGTACTCTCCGTCTTCCTTCGCCGCCATTTCCAACAGATGAATCAAGATCTTGCGCGCGGCTTCTTCTGACATTTCAGCAACAAATTTAAAAACTTCATTCAACTTGAAGATCTTTTCAATTGAGTCGACTTTGAAAAGGGAATTGTTTTTACTTTCTGGAGATAACAGTTCTTCTTTTAGACATTTAGAAGCCAAAAACTCCTGCATGGATTTGTGAATGAAGTGAACGTCTTTGCTGGGGTTAAGAGCGGACACGTTTAGCAGCTGAAACAACCCGGCCTCGATCAGTTTCTCAGTCAAAACGCGATCCGGCAGTTTACTGAGAGGAAAATAAAGTAAATCTTGTAGAAGTGCGTCAAAGGCTAGTTCTCCTACTTTACAGAGTTCTTCTTTGTGGTCGTCAACTTTTTCCACCGGCTTGTTTTGTTTTTCAGACATATGATTAAACATAGTCTGTATGAACTGGTCATAAATCATCACCCGTGATGAAGGTAGTCCTTCACGACCCTTTTTCTCCCAAACCAAAGACAGCATTAAAAGTACAATAGGTATCTTTGCTACATCCTCCAGCCTTTGTTGATTCAAGTACCTGAAAAACTCTTCAACATCTTGATCATCTTTCAAGAATCTACGAGCGAACTCTTTTTGTTGCCTAAGGTCAAAACCGTCGATCTCAAATTGAGCATCGCTGGAACTTTTCAATCCCTCAGCTTTCATGTCTCTAGATGTTATAATAACACAACAATCTCTCAACTTTTTTTGCGCCCAGATTTCAAGAACAGGTGATTGGCTTGCTGCGCTGTGTACGTATTCATCGTAGCCGTCCAAAATAAGCAACACTTTTTCTGGGTGGTGACGAACGTAATCGTACAGGTTATCAGTAGAAATTGGGCCATCACTCGCAAGAAGATTAGCAGCGCTCAGAATGTCTGGGACAGCGTTGAGGTTACAAACATCGCGCAATTTGACCAAAAGTACGAGATCAAATCTTCCTAACTTTCCTTCAAATCTGTGCTGGGACCAGTCGAAGGTAGCTTTCTGCGTAAAAACGGTCTTGCCGATACCTGGTCGTCCGTGAACCAAAATGCGCTTGGGCTTATGATTAGGTCTTCCGCCGTCGAAAATGTCGGTGTAGTGTTCAAGTTCCTTCTGTGTTACTCCGCTGGGCTTCTTCTCATCCATAAGCCAAGACAACTGGGTGTAAATTTCATCGATATGAACGGCAGAGCTTTGGTCCCACGGAACGATTTTGACTTTGCTGTTGGTTTCGTAAATTGATCGCAGCTGTTTCTGGCACTCCTCGAGGGAGAGAGAATCTGTTAAAGAAAATTTTACGTTCCTTTTATTAAAGAATTGTTCGTTAATAACTTGATGTCTTAATAGGCGTGGAAAGTTAAAGGGAGGTAGTTGACGCACAAAATATAGGCCCTCATTTATATAAACTGATCAGATCACCAAATACAAATAAAATTTCCGTATTTAAAAACAAATTACCCTCAACTCATGATACACCAACAGAAATCTAAGTAACAGTGTATGTAGATATCAGGGCTCTAAGATCGAAACAAGAATATAGCGTAGGAATATAAATACTATGGTCAAACGTAGAAGGAATGCTCTTAATATTAATTATATTAATTTATTAATTCATTTATCTATTCTATTTTCTTCTTTTTCGCCTACTTATACAGTTAACTAGAAAATCTAAAAGTATATTTAGCTTCCCAGCTCGCACTTATTATTTCTCTTATATTATAAAGTTATAACCTAGCACAAATTTGAGTTATAAAAAAGTTGAAAATGTAATTTCACCGTGAGCTAAATAAAGAATTATTAATTATTACAATTACAAATTATGAATATGGCGGGATGGGCAACCTTGGCGGAGTAACATGTAGATGTAAATGTCTTTGAAGACTGCATCAGTAAAGCAAGTGTAAAGGGGTGTTACCCCACAAAGAGAGGTTCAGGGAGGAGACACCAATAGAGGGCTACCTCTCCAAAGCCGTTAGTGACGTTGGTGGTTGAGTGCTAAAAATAATTCTTATTTTTCATAACTGGCCTCGAAGATTAACGCAGGTTAAAAATATCTTAGCACAATTCTCACGGAAAAATTGAATGAGAAAAAGAATTTGACACTTGAAGTATCACATCATACTTCTTCTTTGCTACTTATTTTTGAAATAAATATAAACAACTGCTACAATAAAGATCATTTTGTATTGCAATATAACAAATGATAAAAGTCATTTTCATATTAAAATAAGCGTTTTTAATCTACTGTGCGTCTGGTACCATTTCTGCTTTATTGGATATAATAGTACCTGGTAACTCCTCCTTAGTGGCCATAGAGCTAGAGGGCTGTTTCCCTGCTGACGGGTCTGTGAGTTAAATGAAATAGAAAAGAAATTGAAGTGAGACATTTAAAACATGGGTTGTTCAAAAGTATTTGGGGAAAATGTTTATCAATCTGTTAGTTTTTTTACTACTCACATTTTAGTTTCTGGGACTGAATAACAAAGTTTCAATAACAAAAAGCACTGAGCAGCTTGTCTTGGGACTGAAAGCTTACATTGTGGGTGATACTGACATTTTAATTCACTAAATGATGTCTGGTAGCAGTGTGCACAATTTTTGACAATAAATTTATGTTTTAAACTTGGTTATGCAGGATTTCAGCTGCACACTGAGTTGATTCTAAAAGGCATCTAGTAAGCAGTTGCAGTTCAGAAACATTTTCAAAACAGGAAAAAAAAAAAATACTTCCTGGGCCTTTCCAACCAATCAGAGGGTAGAGTTCTAGAATGATCTAATACCAGAACATAAAGCCACTAGAGCAGAGAGCTTGCTGGTTAGAGTTCAAGGCTGTCACTATGGTTTCAAGTTTCAGAGCAGGGAATAGAACATCCTGGAAATTCTTTCGGTCCTATTTTCCTTTTATTTCCTATGAATAAAGTAACCGGGGGTCATGCTCATAGCAGCCAGGGGAAATCCACACCTCCCGGCCCTTACTGACAGCCCTGTAAAGTTGGTCGCTAGTACCGTCAGGGCATGGTGAGGAGAGGGGGGGCGGGGTGGAGAAGGATATACTACCCTCTTAAACGACTGTACATGTGGTGGTAGACAAATAGAAAATTCAAAAGTATCCCCAGAAGGTATCGGAATCTTGCTTTGTCAGCATGGCCAAAAAGAGGAGGACATACTTCCCTGACAAAGTTTAGTAGATGGTTACTGTCAGGGAGCTGTTGTGATTCTCATATACAATGAATTAGTAATCTCTTATTCACCTGTAACAGAACTTGTGCTTGGGCCATCTTGCTCAGATGGACCTTGAAATACAACAACAAATAATTAGTCATTTCACCAGTGTCTTGTTCACAACTATGTTGTTAAATGAATTGCTTTTTTGGAGACAATGAACTGGATCAAATGCTTTTTGTCTTGCTGTAGGAGATTCATGAATCTTTTCATAAGTCTTCAAAATAAACCATTTTTTGAATTTTCCTCAGCTATTTGCAATTTTAATATAATTTAACAATGAGTACCGGCATCTTTATACCAAATGACAAAATGTGTACATGACACACCATACCATGGTTGAACTCATGTAACAAACTCAAGTTCAAGTTCAAGCTTATTGTTTACTGGCAACATTTTGAACTGCAGGAACTTGACTTGCAGGGACCACGTCCTCTGCTCTTTATGAATTAACAGTGTGGTTGTTATGATTTATTGTACTTAAATGGCCACAAGACTAGAAAGTGACTAACCGTTTGCAGCTGTCATTGAAAAGGTAGCACTTTCTTCACAGTTACATTTATTTAAAGATCCTGATTTGTTGGTTCAAAGTTTGAACTTAAAGCTGTACAAGCTCTAGCTCGACAGACCAATTTCCCAATTGAGCTACAGAGTAACTGGGCAGTGGGTCAGTTCCCCTATGGGGAAAGAAACACTCCACCTCAGAATTCCAAAGACCCTACCAAAGACCCTCGTAGGTATTAATTACTTGGAATTGTTCTTAATCTCCAAGAATAATTATCTACATGAAACATGAATGTCAAAATATTACTTTACAACTTTCTTTACCTTGGTTTTTTGGTTTCCCTTTCTGGAATGGCTTTGCAGCACTTATTTTGATCTGGTCCCAAAGAGTATTAGCCATTCTACAATTAAACCAAGATTAAAATTTATGCATCAGAAAATAGTAGTTTAGTGAGGCCAACATACACTTCTCCATGCCGCTCACTAAGTTTATTTCAAACAATTTCCAATATTTTGCTGTTCCCCTACAAGGAGTATCTCAACTTCATTTTTAATGTCAGCAAACTAGCTGTGGTCCAAAATCTCCAAATTATAACTTTCCCTGCCAGCAAATCGCCAGGATACTTTTGAGGACTTCACTAACAAAAGAAAGTCTTTCATTCTATTTGGATAACATCACATAAGGTTTCATTAATTATGTATATAGCAGGAGGTGGGGGGGGGGGGAGAGGATATTTTTTAAAAGGGCAAAATGTTTTAAGATCAGCCCCACCAAATCATACAGAATTTTTTGACAGCCCCCCTTCTTGACCAAAACAAAATTGGCAACCTCCCCGTCTTGACGAGGAAAGTAAAATATAGGCAATATGATGAAATGGTGGAGAGTTCATTGTTTACATAGAAAACTAAAAACAAAAGGTAACCAAAGGGTCACAGATTTTTGTGAAATAAAAATATGCCAAGAAGAGGATATAAAGGTACAAGCACTCAAAGCACTTCAGTGACTGAGAGAACTTACTATCATTAGTGGGGATGCCCTTGAACATGTAGGTTGTGCTGTTCATAATTTAGGGAAGCCAAGTGTTGTTGATGTCCAACAGTGTTGAACAATGATGATGATGATGATGGTGGAAATGAAGAGGGTACTGAGAGTTTTGGAGACAATGATGAAGTTTAGAACATGCCTTCACAAAGACAGTTGCAATGTGTTTTCAAGCATTAGTTTAATAACTTTCATCAGCAAATGTTTAACTGGTGACATGTTTTTCAAGTTGTGTATGCGGTCAGTATAAAAGAACGACTGCGGACTACAGACTGCGGACTGGGTATAAAATATGGACTAGGTATAAAATGCGGACTGGAAAATACAGACTGGGTATAAAACATTGGCTAGGTATAAAACGTGGACTGCGGACTGGGTATAAAATACAGACTACGGACTACTTTGGTAAAAACTGTGCTAATTGGTTCTAGGTAAGGAAAAATAAGATCAAAAGATCACTAAATAGCAAGACATGTGAGTTTAAGTTGTAAATACTCCTATAAATTCTTGGTGGAGGTGTGCCGCCCAGTTCTCTGAATCAGGATCCTGACCAAAATGCTATTTTCTTCACCCACTTTTAGACCTGGTCTCGGTCTCTAACAATCATGAAAGGGGTCAGGACCCGGGGGGTACTCCCTTATATAAGCCATATAGGTATGTACCGCCCAAAGGGTAGGGTTTTGGGGCCTATTTAGTCCGAAAACACTTTGCCCATTTTGGTCTGGAATCGGGTATGGTTTTTAAGGGAGCTACAGGAGCGTACATGAATGGATAAATTTATCGTTTCAATTCCAAATGAATAAGCATGAAATAGAAATATGTGAATTCGAAATGCATTTGGAGAATTTTTTTGTTTACGCTCTAACTTGGTAATGATGACATAATTTCTGCCTAATTAGACCTAACCTGTTCCAGGCTCCGAGGTAGTTGGGTCCACTGTATTGAGAAGGCACGAACACGAAATAAAACGGGAGAAAACTGGGGAGTCTCCCCAACTATCTGAGAGCCTAAGACAGGCTAAATTAGGCCAGGTCCGAAAATGGGTATGGATTTCAGAGATTTGGTCTGAAAATGGGTGTGGAAAATGGCATTGTTTGGTCTGAAATAAGGTCAGGATTTGGAGAACCAGGCAGCACACCCCCACCAAGAATTTCCAGTAGTACTCCCCTTCGGGGGTCAGGAGCAGGGTGTAATCATGTCATCACAATCATCGCTTAGAATATAACGTTGAATGATTCATTTCGGTTATTATTCATGTATTTGAGTAATCCCTCCTCCGCTCCCTAAATACTGCTTTTGTACATCGCACAATGCCCCTACATTCTCATTTGAGTTCTTCATTCAGTCCTCATATTCCCAAGGCTTTATTTGAAACGGAATTGTGGCATCTATAAGAATTTTACTGATCTAACTAACACCAATACCATTTTTTTTTATTTCCCCTTGAAAAGCCGAAGCCGTGATTTTTAGAATGAAAGGTAAGTGTACACTTTTAGAGGATTCGGTGCTTCTTATTGGTTTAAAACTGTAAATTGAAATCTCTTCTAACTCCTTCTTTTTATAAAATTCAGAGTTTAATTTCAGTTGCCTTGAGTACTGGCATAATAATAAATTATAACCTTCCTTGTCCACTGGGAGAATAGACTACGGGAACAGCTAAAGGAATGTTAAAGCTGGGACTACTGTTTTTGCTTGTCCGCTTTGCGTTTCTCTCAGTTTTACCTTCCTAAAGCTGTTATTATATACATAGTCCATAGTCCACGTTTTATACTTAGTCCGTGTTTTATACTCAGTCCGTAGTCTGCATTTTATTCCTAGTCTGTGTTTTATACCCAGTTCGCAGTCCGTGGTTCCCAGTCCGTGTTTTATACCGACCGGTTGTGTATGCTATTTGAGCCATCAAGCACTTCAAGACATTCCAATGTGAACATTTTTGCATAGGAATACTAATTATAAAATACTTTGTATGGCTGTTATGTTAGTTTATAGAGCTTCAGTTAAGTCCATTCATTAGTCTTGATTTCAGTGGCTACTGCTAAACACAGAAATAACGGCAATTTTCCAGTTAAAGAAAGTTTGAACTTTTCATTGAAATTTTGTAGTTGTTATTGACTCGAAAGCAATTAGCTTTACCATGAAAACACTTCACCGTTATATTAATAGTTTAAGTCCTACAAAGAGTATTATTTATCAAGCAAATAAGCTAGCAAACTTTCTTTAAGCATAGAGTAATATTAAGGTAGTCTTCTTTTATAAAAAAAAATCCACAAAACAATGCTTCCTAATTTTAATAACTGGAGAAAAACAAATCAGCAACCCCCGTTTCTTCTGTCAAAAATTTTGGTAACCCCCCCTTGTCCCTTGCCAAAAAATTTAAGATCCCCATCAAAAATCCTCTCCCCCTAATCCCCCCTCTCCCCCCTGTGGTATACATAATGAATGCAGCCTAAAAGAGGATTCAGACTGTAGAGGAATACCATTATAGATTAGTATTGTAAGGGAATACCTTTGTTTGTTAAAATGAAATTCTGTCAGTCCTTCACTCTAAGGCGTGCCAACTGTCTCGGTTAACCAGTTTAACTGAAATAAATGGCAAAAAGTAATATTTTAAGACAAAAACAGAAATGAAGTCAAGACAGTTAGTTTTCCACAGAGTTCATACATTTTATTGTGTATTAAATGTTTTGACACTATTCATAAATAGATTGTTAAATGCATATAAATGTATGGGGTTGTATGGAAGTCTTACCCAAATGAACTTGTCAAGACACTGGGTAGAGGATTGCTGATGTATTACAGTCAAACCAGGTCAAGCGTTCCCGTCGCTAACGAACTAATGAATTCATTCACGGAAAAATGATTTCGTTTGTTGATTCAATAATCCATTCATAAAATGAACAATCCAATAGTCATATTTAGCCTCGATTCCATAATCGATTGTTGATTCGATTACTGTTTTTTGAAAAATTACACTTTCCACAAGTTGACCTCAGAATTTTGTTTTTTCCTCTTTTTTTTCTGAGAGTCGAGTGCTGGCGAGTTCTGAAGTTCAAACCCAAACAAACTGTTACCTGTACGCCAGTTTGCTGCCAATAATCAGTGCAACAGACCTAGGCCTGACCTCTTAGAAAACACGACGGTCAAACTGAGGTCAGTGTATGTGCGGTGATTGGTGGATTTCGATCCTCGGCCTTTGTCAGTTTCTTTGCGTTTGCGGTCTGTCTATTCTAGCTGTTATTTTGATTAAAGGCAATGAAAAACGCAATCGTAAACGGCAGGAAAAGGGAAGCAAATTCGATTGAACACAACAGAGAAGAATAAAGAACAGGTAGATTTTGTTCATAAACCAAATCAACATTTGATTATTGAATCGAGGTACAATTTGACCGTTGGATTATTCATTTTATGAATGGATTATTGAATCAACAAACGAAATCATTTTTCCATTAATGAATTCATTAGTTTGTTAGCGACAGGAACGCTTGACCTGGTTTGACTGTAAATGACAGACGTCTGTCATGAACTTTCAGAGGGTAACTTAGGGGAGCAGAGATTTGGTTTGTGAGAGAGAATGTGTTTATCATACTGCTGATAAAAAGCCAACTCTTTAGTCTCAAGACAACAGTTTTTGCTTTGTTATCTTTAATTGAACATGATAACTTTCCTGAAAATGAAAGGCCGGTTTATAACTGTACACGTGATGCAAATGTAAATGCAAGTACAGTGAGATATGCATGTGCAGTATCCTGTATCATAACTTTATTGAGTTAATCAAGTTCCATTTAAATCATTATACCAGACAAACTGACCTGAAAGTTAATTAACTCAGTTTCCTAACCCTAATCAATAAAGTTAAGAGTCATTAGGTGGGGGATCTTATAGGTCTTTGTTTTCAAGACACCTGTTGGCCTTGAATTGCGTGACAAACAAAGTCACAGAGGCTATTAGAAGAGCCAAGAAGAATTTCTTCTACGAATCTTTCAGAGAAAACCGTGGTGACTCTAAGAAGATTTGGTCTGCACTTAGGGATTTATCTGGCCAGAAAAATTATGGGGGTGTGTCCTATTTGGAGGAGAACGGGTCAATCTATAAATACATGATGAAACTGCAATGGCCAAGGTATTCACTGAACACTTCATGGGTTTAGCGGAGAGACTCGCTGACAAAACTGTAGGGCAGTTTGATCCAACAGTACTGAAAGCTCTTGTCGATAAACCCAAGGTTTGTGACTCAAAGCTAGCTTTCCCTCCTATAACCCGAAGCCAGGCCCACCAGCTAATAAAGGCTATCCCGCCATGCAAAGCGACTGGCCTGGATGGTGTGAGTACTCGCTTAGAGCAAGGGTGGTGCACTAGTGGTGAGAGCACTTGCCTACCACCAATGTGGCCCGGGTTCAAATCCCGGCATCGACACCATATGTGGGTTGAGTTTGTTTGTTTGTTGTTGGTTCTCTCCCTTGCCCCGAGAGGTTTTTCTCTAGGTACTCCGGTTTTCCCCTTTCCTAAAAAACCAACATTTCCAAATTCCAATTCGACCAGGAATCAGGTAGATGAAGAACCACTATGTGGATGTGCTACCTGCAAATCGTTATTCATTTATGCTACAATCAGCGACAAAATGAGTTCAGACACTTCACCCTAAAGGGGCTTTTTGGCATTTCCCTGACTTCACAAGGGCAAAATATAGCTTTTCCTCCCCCATCCCCTCCATACAATGTTGTGCCACTGTTCGAGCTACCTTTAGAAAACAACTAACACCCCAACTTTGAATGGAGGGGACAGGGGAGGGGTGTGGATTCTTTTGTTCTCTGAAGTTACCCTATTTGAGTACAATTTCTCAACAATTTTGTTGCCGATTGTCAGAATCGCGAAAGTGCCACACAACCTTAAGAAAATTAATTCAACTCATTTCTCTCTGCTGGGATGTAAAACCCCTGGTGGCTTTTTATTTGCTACGTTTAACTTCATCATGCCTATTTTAGAACAATTAGATTAAAATAAGAATATAACGGTTTCGTTATTTTCAGTGGGTGACATTTCGTGTCACGCTTAACATGCCTTGACATCGTGTGATGTGGCGCGTTGCACACAATTTTTTATTCTCTCCTTTATTAAAACAAAGTACAAAGTGAATAGGACAGAAAACAAAATAGATTTCTAGGCAATAAAGCAGTTACAATTGCTGAAATTAACTGTTTAGGACGAATTTCCACGAGTAACCAGGATGAGTACAAAATAAAATAATTAGATTATCTTAAAGAAGAAAGCTGGTTACAGTCTCCTCCTAACCTCATAGTTTCTACTGTAATGTACACTCTTCACAGACTTGTATAAGAATATGGGCAACTAATCTACTGCACAAATGTAGCGATGCTATGCAGCTTTGCTGTGCGTTAGAAGTCGGAACTCAATCACACCCATATGAATGGCCAAATTTCGAATAAAAACTTCGAACTTACTCGGGAGATATTCACAAACAATACATTATTTATTTCCCATCAATTCCTGGCCTGACGACCACACTTAGATACCAGAGGAAAATCAATATTTCAGTACGTGGGTATGGCGCGTAATAATTGGACAACACTATTGAGTACAAAGATTGGCAAAACTAATTTCCCCTTGAAAAGCCGAAGCCGTGATTTTTAGAATGAAAGGTAAGTGTACACTTTTAGAGAGAGCGCTTTCTCGACTCGAAATTTAAAACTCGATCCTTGATCCTCGATCATCAAAAGTTTTGAGAATCGAGTCTCGCGTCTCAAGGATTGAGACGCGAGTGACTGTCAACTTACTTTTGAGCGGTACTGTAGATGCAAAGATAGACCATCTGTTATTAATAATATACAAAACCCCATGTATGATTTCAGCATTTTAAAAGTTATGACCGTTTGTATCAACGCATATGCGAGCTAATATGATATTTTCAGATTTAGCGTAACAGATATATCTCAAGCAGATTTTGTCAAAAGTACGGCTTACTGATACTTTACAGAAGTTGGCTATATATCGAAACTGAATGTGTCTAGGAAACCCAGCCAGCTCAGTTGTCTGGGCTTATTAGTATAGAGGCCCTTGAAATTCGCTTGTTAAGGGAAAGTTCATTTAATATGACAAGGGAGGGGGATGAAGATATTGAGGGGGGGCTCCGAAAATTTTTAGACGCCCGAAGGGGGGGCTCTGAAAAAAATTGTTGCGCTTAGGAGGGGCTCCGAAAATTTGTATACTTCAAAACCAACACATGACATCATCATACAGATCGGATGGTTTTCAACTCAACAATTTAATGACCTGTGCAACTCAGCTATATCACGTGGTTTACAGATATAACAAATGTAGTCTCAGTAACTATTACACTCTTGTTCATCCCAAAAATGCTTTAGAAAATTGTATCACAACTGTATCTCAAGTTTGTCATAGTGATCTTTTTTCAGGGGAGCAAAGGAATTGAAGGAGGAGGCTGGGGGGGGCTCTGAAATTTTTTTGACTACCAAGGAGGGGGCTCCTAAAAAATTGAACCGGTAGCGAGGGGGGCTGCTAAAATTTCAAGCTTCGAGTTTCAATATCTTCATCCCCCCCCCTTGTCATATTAAATGAACTTTCCCTAAGGGCGGATAAATAGTACCGGCCGGTGAGTAAGTTTATAAGAAACCGATCATTACTTAGAGGGGGGAGGTCCCTTTGACTGTTTTTGCAACAGGAACTGGATTTTCCTCCTCCATCTCCTCCCAAACTTTACCTAATTCATTACTAGCACTGACTCAAAAATTGAACAATATTTCATTCAAAATTCTAGTAAATGCGCATTTGAAACTGCTGGTATGCAGCCATATTTGAATCCCTTGCCGAAACTACCATAAAATTCCGAAAATAAGCCCCTCCATGTATAAGTCCCACAAACTCGTAACACAAAAAACCCTCTGTAAAATCCCCCCGAATATAAGCCCCCCTGGTGCTTGCCCTGGTGCTTGTACTTGGAAAATTGCCCTCAAATACAAAGTGAAACAAAGCAAAAACGGTAAATTTCCTTCCAAACTATAAACTAGACCGATCAATTTTGAAACGCAAACTTCCCTCCGTACATAAGCCCCTCCGAATATATATAAGCCACTCCAAACATAAGCCCCTCAAAAAGGGCCTTTGAAAAATACAAGTCCCGAGGCTTATTATCGGAATTCTACAGCATGTCACGTTTCAAGATAAATAGCTGGGTAAGAAAGAACATAAAACAAATGTCCAGAGGTGAGAGTTTGTCCGAGAATCAAAACATCAGCTAAGCAAATTTCACTTTGGGTCAGAAAACCCAAATTTATCAACAAATGTAGGATTATTTTTTCGACCATCTTACAGTGTTTTGTGGCTAATCGTAAAACAAAGTGTCTTAGTGCCTTTCTTGGCCATATTGCATCGCATGTTTGGTCTACAAAAAGGGTCGCCTGCCACTAGTGTCATCATTTTATTGGTGTAAATATTGGTCTTAAGGTCTAAACACGAATACAGAATTGATTCCTTTCTTAAAACTACTCTAGATTAAATGGGAGTTTATTGCAACCATACCCTATAATCCAAATGACTTTCCTGTGCT